GAGGCATCCCCCCTGCCAGTACACAGCCTTGGGGAAGGCATCCCCCCTGCCAGTACACAGCCTTGGGGAAGGCATGCACGATTACTGTGGAATGTTTTAAGAAATAAAGAAAATTATAAATACGAAAATAGAAATTACGTATACCTATTTCCTACAGCACCTGTAAATAACCACTACTATATCAACATTTCGACATATTTTCTTTATTGGTTTCTCTATTCACACATATACACAGGCACACATTCCACACATTTAATCAAAACTGAAAGTATAATTGTCTTTCCACCTGGCATAGTCCCTTCCTAGAGTCTGCAGTCACTCCTTCATTCATCAGTTTAGAAAACATGAGTAGTCAAGCCCTTTCCAAGGGCCCAGAGAGTGCGGACTTGAAGCATACGTAGCCCATCCCTCTGGTCCTGCCTTGGAGAAGTTTATGGCCCAGAAGGGAGAGTGACATGTAAATAACTCTAATGAGTGTGGAAAAGTGTGTAGTAGGATGGCTTGGGGGAGGTGGTGGCTAGCAGAAGATCAGCAGGAGGCCATTTATAGTAGTCCTAGGGAGAATGGCCTGCAGCAGAGGAGAGGGGAATGAAGGGCCCCCTTGAAAGCTGTTTAATCACAGTGAATGGTGACTAACTGGATACAGGAGGCAAGGAGGGTTTTAGGAAACTGGGTGGGTGATGGTGCCTTCACTGGGATAGTTAATATGAACAGAGAAGCAAGTTGAGACTGGCGTGTGAGATGATATTCACCTGAGCATTGGGCTGCAATGAGACACTCAAGTCTGGAGCCTAGGATGGGCTGGAGAGGAGATTTGGGAGTGTTCTTCATAGCAGTTGGAGGTACAGCAGTTGGAGGAACAGCATATAAAAAAAACCGGATGAGGGTCCCAGCTGGCGGCCAGAAGGAAGGCAAAGGAGGAGGGTCTTATTGGAAAAGACCAAGAAAGTGTGGCCAGAGAGGTGGGAGGACAATGAGGAGGGAATGGGGACTCAGTCGAAGAGGGTTTTAGAGAAGGCGGTTTTAGTGTTTTAGTGAAGCCGGTCCTGGTCCTTGCTAGTTTGTGATGTTGGTCAAATTCTTGAACCTCTGAGCCTCTGTTTCTGGAGGTGAGGTGGCTGAAGTGTCCTATGCTGCAGAGCAGTAAGGCAGGGTGAGGATCACTAGCTCTCCAGCTCCCTGAAGGCGAGCAGTTTGCATCCTTCTGCCCTGGTGCCATGTCCTTAGGGGCTAGAGCATGTAGTACCTGGGAGGTTACTGGTGGCCTTGGGGTGGAGAGGGCAGGAGAAGGGTGGGAGATGAGGAGGCAGATAAGTCTTTGGTCACTCTATGCCTGACACCTCACTCCTGCACTGATACCTGATTTCAGATGCTGCCACCCGAACATCTTACCTATGCTGGGCTTCTGTGCTGGAAGACGGTTTCACAGCTTGATTTACCCGTACATGGCAAATGGTTCTTTACAGGACAGACTTCACGACCAGGTAAGAGGCTAGGTCATATGCTTGGCATGGTGGCTCACCCCTGTAATCCTGCCACTTTACGAGGCTGAGGCAGGTGGATTGCTTGAGCTCAGGAGTTCAAGATGCGCCTGAGCCACAGTGAGACTCTGTCAATAAAAATAGCTAGGTGTAGTGACTGGGGCCTATAGTTCCAGCTACTCAGGAGGCTGAGGCAAGAGGATCACTTGTGCCTAAGGTTGGTGTGAGCTATGATGCCACGGCACTCTACCCAGGACATAGAGTGAGACTCTATCTTAAAAAAAAAAAAAAAAAAAAAGAGACTAGGTCATGGGCAGACAACAGGACCAGGCAGCACCCAGTCCCAGTTAGGGAATCAAAGGTTAAGTTAGGGATCTGGAGGGGAGAGCAGCCATCCTCTCAGTCCCAGGGAAAGCTTCAAGGGAGGAAGCTGGGCCAGGATAGAAAAGATCTCGTTCCGCATTTTTCACCCTTTTTCAAATCTCACGGCACACTTGAACCTGTAGTTAAACTTCTGCAGCATACCTAAATCAAAAAGAGAGTAAAAAAAAGAATATACTTATGGGCGGTGCCTGTAGCTCAAAGGAGTAGGGAGAGTTCAAACCCAGCCCCGGCCAAAAATTGACAAAAAAAAGAATATACTTACTGTGCTTTGAACTTTTTCTTTTTCTTTTTTTTGAGACAGAGTGTTACTATGTTGCCCTCTGTAGAATACTGTGGCTCACAGCTCACAGTAAACTCAAACTCTTGGGCTCAAGTGATTCTCTTGCCTCAGCCACCCAAGTAGCTGAGACTACAGGTCCCTGCCACAACACCTGGGTATTTTTTTGCTGTAGTTGTTATTGTTGTTTGGTAGGCCTGGGCCAGATTCGAACCTGCCAGTCCCGGTGTTATGTGGCTGGTGCCCTAGCTGCTAAGCTACAGGCACTGAGCCTGCTTTGAACTTCTTTTTTTTTGAGATAGTGTCTTATTATGTCGCGCTCAGTAGAGTACTGTGGCATCATATAACTCACAGCAACCTCAACAAATTCTTGGGCTTAAGCAATTCTTTTGCCTCAACCTCCCAAGTAGCTGGAACTATAGGCGCCCACCACAGCACTCGGCTATATTTTGCTGTAGTTATCATTGTTGTTTGGCAGGCCCAGGCTGGGTTCAAACCCTCTAGCTCCCATGTATGTGTCTGGGGCCCTAGCTGCTGTGCTACAGGCGCTGAGCCTGCTTTGAACGTCTTTTGAAAATAATTTAATGAATAATCTTTAAAAATTTCAGCCAGGTGCAATGGCTCACTCCTGTAATCCTAGCACTCTGGGAGGCTGAGGCAGGTGGATTGCTTGAGCTCAGGAGTTTAAGACCAGCCTGGGCCAGAGTAAGACTCTGTCTCTAAAAATAGCCAAGTGTTGTGGCAGGCGCCTGTATTCTCAGCTACCAGGGAGGCTGAGGGAAGAGGATCACTTGAGCCCAAGAATTTGAGGTTGCTGTGCGATGTCATAGCACTCTACCCAAGGTGACAAAGTGAGACTGTCTCAAAAAAAAAAATTTCCATGGCACATCAGTTGAAAATCACTGTCTTAGAGGATGTGGGACCTAAGCCTGAGCTTGAAAACTAGGTGGTGATTTAGCCTGGGAGAGTCTAAGAACCGCAGGGCAGTACTGGCCGCAAATGGGAGGCTTTCAGGGGTGTCCAACTTGAGGCCCATGGCCACATGCAGATCATACGAATACTTTGTTGCTTATCTGTGGTGGCAGATATCATGAAAATTATGCATGGACTTTTTTTTTCTCTCATCATCTTTCTTGAGTGTTTGTATATTTAATATGTGGCCCAAGATGACTCTTTTTTTTTTTTTTTTTTTTTTTTTTTTTGAGACAGAGCCTCAAGCTGTCCCCCTGGGTAGAGTGCCGTGGCATTACAGCTCACAGCAACCTCCAACTCCTGGGCTCAAGCGAGTCTCCTGCCTCCACCTCCCAAGTAGCTGGGACCACAGGTGCCCGCCACAACGCCCGGCTATTTTTTGGTTGCAGCCGTCATTGTTGTTTGGCGGGTCCGGGCTGGGGATTCGAACCCGCCACCTTAGGTGTACGTGGCTGGTTGAGCTATAGGCCCTGGTTGAGCTATAGGCGCCGAGCCCCAAGATGACTCTTTTAATGTGACACAGAGAACCCAAAAAGCTGGACACCCCTGCACCATGCCCCAGTCTCTATTATGTATATGTAAAGTTTCCCCCATATACACAAAATTGGTATAAGGCTCATGTGCCTGGGGTGCAAACACAAGCTCCTTAGCTCCTTTCCCTACCAGCCCCTTCTAGGGAGAAATCCCAGAGCTGCTAATGTAACAGTTGTGATAAAAACAGCTGCTATTGGCTCGGTGTGGGGGCTTACATCTGTGATCCTAGCATTTGGGAGGCTGAGGTGGGTGGATCCCTTGAACCCAGGAGTTTGAGGCCAGCCTGAGCAAGAGTGAGACCCCATCTCTACTAAAAATAGAAAAACTAGCTGGGCATTGTGGCATTTGCCTGTAGTCCCAGCTACTCAAGAGGCTGAGGCTCAAGCCCAAGAGGTTTCTGTGAACTATGATACTATAGCACGCTACCCAGGGTGACAGAGTGAGACTGTCTCAAAAATGTAAAAAAAAAAACACACAAAAAATGCTATTTATAAGCACCTACTGTGTGGCAGGAGTTATTATGTATACTTCCTTAAATCCTTATTAGCAGCCCTAAAACATAGGAATTAACGTTTCCATTTTATACCCCTGGAAATTAAGGCTTTGAGTTGTTAAGTGTCTTTTCCAAAGTCACACAGCAAGTGCATGTTTGACCTGGGAGGTACACCTTTGTCTGCCTTGTGTGAAAACCCTTAGTATCACGGGAAATCCTGCCGACTGAGCCTGCTGCAGAGAGCGTGAAGGGCAGGAGAAGAGGCAGGATCTGGACCCTGCTATTGGGCATTTAAAAAGGCACAGGTGGCTCAGGGCCTATAGCTCAGCGGCTAGGGTGCCAGCCACATATATCAGGGCTGGTGAGTTCAAACCTGGCCTGGTCCTGTCAAACAACAATGACATCCACAACAACAACACAACAAAAAAAGGCTGGGCTTGTGGTGGGCGCCTATGTCCCAGCTTCTTGGGAGGCTGAGGCAAGAAATTGCTTGAGCCCAAGAGTTTGAGGTTGCTGTGAGCTCACCACGGCACTCTCCCGGGGGCAATAAAGTGAGATTCTATCTCAAAAAAAAAAAGAAAGAATTAACAGAAAATTAATTTTTTAATTAATTAATTAGTTTATTGAGACAGAGTTTCACTCTGTTGTCCAGTCTAGAGTACCATGGCATCACCCTAGCTCACAGCAATCTCAAACCCTTGGGCTCAAGTGATCCTCTTGCCTCAGCCTCCCAAGTAGCTGGGACTACAGGTGTCTGCCACAACACCAGGCTAGTTTTCCTATTTTTAGTAGAGACAATCTTGCCCAGGCTAGTCTCTAAACTCCTGAGCTCAAGGAATCCTCCTGATTTGGCCTCCCAGAGTGCCAGGATTAAAGGTGCCAGCCAGTGTGCCTGGCAAAAATTAATTTTATAGAGGGCTAAAACATGTGAAGGGCTGGGCTTGGTGGCTCACGCCTGTAATCCTTGCACTCTGGGAGGACAAGGGGAAAGGATCCCTTGGGCTCAGGAGTTCCAGACAAGACGAGCCTGTGCAAGAGAGAGACTTCTTTCCTAAAGAAAAAGTAGCTAGACCTTGTGATGGGCTCCTGTCATCTCAGCTACTTGGGAGGCTGAGGCAGGAGGATCACTTGAGCTCAGGAGTTTGAGGTTGCTGTGAGCTATGATGCCATGGCAGGGGGACATAATGAGACTCTGTCTCAAACAAAACAAAACAAAACAAAACTATTTGTCTGTCTTTTCTTTCTTAGAGTGGCTCAGACCCTCTTTCCTGGCCCCAGCGCGTCAGCATCTGCTCGGGGCTGCTTTGTGCCCTGGAGCACCTGCACGGACTAGAGATCATCCACAGCAATGTCAAGAGGTGAGAGGGTGGGCTGGACACCCCCCAGGGCCTGGGTTGCAAGGAGGAGACCAGCAGGGTTCCTGAGTCCCCTTCTCTCTGTCCCTCTTCTTTTTGTTTTTCTCTCTTGCCCTCCCCTCTCCTCACCTGGGTACCTTTTCTCTTTGTTATGCCCTCAAAACTCAGTGTTTTTGGTTGTGTTCTGAGTCTGTTCGCCCTCAGTGTTAGAGGTGAGAATTCATATTTAGGAATTAACATTTTCATTTTATACCCTTGTTGTGAGCTCCTCTGTTCACCCATCAGAACTAGCAAGTTTGGCTGCTAGAGGAGGAGTAGAAAATGAGGCAGCTGGGGCTGCTCCAATATAGCAGAAAAAGAAGTACATTTTGTATTTAAAGGAAAGCAGAGATAAACATAGACTTTTCTTGAAGGGTGGAAGAGGATCCCCCTTGCTAACAGAGACCACATAAGGCAGTATACCGACATGAGTACCTTCATCCCAGTTCCTCCTATATCCATCTATGAGAATTCCCACTGAGGCTTGGCACCCATAGCACAGTGGTTATGGTACCAGCCACATACACCGAGGGTGGCGGGTTCAAACCCGGCCTGGGCCAGCTAAACAGCAGTGACAACTGCAACAAAAAATAGTCAAGTGTTTTGGCAGGTGCCTGTAGTCCCATTTACTTGGGAGGCTGAGGCAAAGGAATTGTTTAAGCCCAAGAGTTTGCGGTTTCTAGGAGCTGTGACACCTCAGCACTCTACCAAGGGCGACATAGTGAGACTCTGTCTAAAAAAAAAGAATTCCCATTGGTTCCCCTAAGGCCTTCAGGCATGCTGCCCTGGTTTCCTTGGTTGTACATTACCTCATTTGTCTCATAAATCCAATTTTCTTCACTCTGTATCAATAATCATTAGGTATTATTTTACTAGTGATTGTATGACCTCTGTTAGTCTCATTATGTTTGTAGTAACTATGGTGTGCCATTGTTCTGTGATGGGGATTTGTATCTTTGTATCATGGGGGGATCATTTATAGCCTAGAGGTCATGGGTCACAGTCTAGAAGTCATTGGTTTTTTTTTTTTTTGAGACAGAGTCTCACTATGTCACCCTCTATAGAGTGTTGTGGCGTCACAGCAACCTCAAACTCTTGGGCTTAAGTGATTCTCTTGCCTCAGCCTCCCAAGTAGGTGGGACTACAGGCGCCCACCACAACGTCCGGCTATTTTTGTTGTTGTTGCAGCTGTTTTGCTGGCCCAGGCTGGGTTCGAACCCGCCGCCCTCGGTGTATGTAGCTGGCACTGTAACCACTGTGCTACGAGCACCAGGCTGGTTGGTTGGTTTTTTTTGAGACGGTGTCTCACTCTGTTGCCCCAGGCTAGAGTCCCATGGTATATAGCTCACAGCAACCTCAAACTTCTGGGTTCAGGTGATTGTTCTGCCTCAGCCTCCCAAGTAGCTGGTGTTATAGGCACTCAACACAACGCCTGGCTAGTTTTTCTATTTTTAGTAGAGATGGAGTCTCACCACCAGCTCAGGCTGGTCTCAAACTTCTGAGCTTAAGCAATCCAGCTGACTTGGCCTCTCAGAGTGTTAGGATTACAGGTGTGAGCCTGGGTGCTGGGCCATAGTGATCATATTTTACAGAAAAAGTGTATACTTAGTTAACCAAGTCACACTCAGCCAAAATTCCTCATTTTGTTTCAGGGCCCTTTCCGACTTTCTCATCCAGAAGTCCATAATTCTTTCCTCCTTCCTTGTAGCCCCTTTAACCTCCTTCCATTCCTAATCACTCAGTGTGAATTGCTCCCCTGTCACCACATCGTCTTTCTTTTTTTTTTTGAAAGAGTCTCAAGCTGTCACCCTGGGTAGAGTGCGGTGGCGTCATAGCTCACAGTAACCTCAAACTCCTGGGCTTGAGCGATTCTCTTACCTCAGCCTCCCAAGTAGCTGGGACTATAGGCGCCTGCCACAGTGCCTGGCTATTTTTCGTTGTAGTTGTCATTGTCGTTTTTGGCAGGCCCAGGCTGGATTCAAACCCGCCAGTTCCAGTGTACATGGCTGGCGCCCTAGCTGCTGAGCTACAGGCACTGAGCCTACATCTTCTTTCTAAGATGCTGGTTTCCCAGCCAACCTTCCATACTCTGTTGCATTTCACTGTCCACTTAGCAGCTGGCCTGGCCCACTTTGAGCTGTGCTTGCCAATACCTTGGGATTTTGCCTCCTTGTTCAGATCTTTCTCAGAGACCTGTCTCCTGCTCGTGTATCTGCTGGTGTTAGCATCTGTCAGGGAGGCTTCCTGCAGCTTAGGCCTGCATCCCAGCACCCCAGTGCCTTCCATCTGGTAAGAGGTCCCTGTTTAAGGCCTGGCAGCAGGGGGAAGGATTCCAGGACAGCACAGAAAACCTGGTAGAAGTGACCCTAGAACCATGGAACTCCTCAAAGTTCTCTCCATTTGGCACAGGGACGCCCTTTCCTCTTTTTTCTACTCTGATTTTTATTTAATTGCACTGACAATTATCATAGCAAGAAAGGTGAGGAGTCATCACTGATCTATCCCCCCAAAAGGGCCTGTGTTAGGTTTCTTTTTCATTTCCCACCCACACAAATCAGCCCTAAGGCGGCACTGTTGTGGATTCCCCAATTTTAGTGTGTTTTTTTTCTCCTTTCATTTATTTACTTTTTGAGAGAGAGCCTCAAGCTGTCGCCCTGGGTAGAGTCTTGTGGCTTCACAGCTCACAGCAACCTCCAACTCCTAGGCTCAAGTGATTCTCCTGCCTCCACTTCCCAAGCAGCTGGGATTACAGCTGCCCACCACAAAGCCCAGCTAGTTTTTGGTTGCGGCCATCATTGTTGTTTGGCAGGCCCAGGCTAGATTCAAACCAGCCAGCTCAGGTATATGTGGCTGGTGCCTTAGCCTCTTGAGCCACTGGCACCGAGCCTCATTTATTTATTTATTTTATTTTTAAAAATTTTTTTGAGACAGAGTCTCAGTCACCCTCAGTAGAGTGCTGTGTCATCATAGCTCACAGCAACCTCAAACTCTTGGGCTCAAGTGGTCTTCTGGCGCCTCAGCCTCCCAAGTAGCTGGGACTACAGGCACCTGCTACAATGCCTGGCTGTTTTTAAGAGATGGGGGTCTTGCTCTTGCTCAGGCTAGTCTGGAACTCTTTTTTTTTTTTTTT